TATACATTTTAGTTCTACAATGAAAATTGCTCTCACAATATTTTTCAATTTTCCTGTAATACTTAAAAATGTTAACAGCTTCTGTAAATTTAAAGCCGCTTAACCCGAAACAGGCACATATTATCTTACACAATAAAAGTATGTCATTACATAGATAATATATAAAAATAAATTATAAGACTGATTTAATAGTTTATTACAACAATCCTTACATGGAAAACACAGATCAAAAACCTTATTGACAAACAGTAGTTCCTGACGGAAGTTAAAATCTGTTGTGAAGTCAATTTAGAAAAAAATAAATTTATCGGATATATCTAATATTGAAGATAATTCAAACCCGATTATTTTTTTCTCTATTAGTAGAAAGTCTTAGTCATAATACATCTTTTCAAAATTAAGAAATTAATTGAATATAATCCATAGTAATTTTTATATTGATATGCATATTTAAAGGAGAAAGGAAAATCAGATATTTTAAATGATTTTTTTAAAGGAGCTAAAATATTGTCCATGTACAGGTAATATATGTACTTTGTTGTGAAAAAAATGCTCGGGTTTGTTCTTCATGAGATAAACATGTAAGCGATAAATTTAATTTTTCGAAGGTAATTTCACGCGATATCAACAATGATCAACACAGGATTATCTTTTGTGTGACCTAACAAAAATTTTTTTTTTAACTTTTGAATTTTGATATCTTTTAAAAGAAAAAGACTTTGGGGATATAATTTGACAAAAGTTGAAACAATTTATGGACAAATATTTTTCAAGAAGAAAAACGAATATATATTTTTAGCGATTAGAATCGGACCAAGCGGCTTTAAGTATAGTACACTGAGTTCTTGAGTAATACAAATACTTTTTTCCTAACAAGATGAGAAAATTTTCTAAACTTCCTTCAATATTACCCAGCATCACCTTTTGTTTTGAAATTACATAATCATTTTCAAATGCTTGATACCAATTTTCAAAATTTTTCCAAAAAATAGTTACATGTTTACACTCATAGAAAAGATGAATCAATGTTTCTGGATCTGATTTACAGAACGAGCAAAGATTATTTTCAGCAATTTTTATCTTGTGAAGAAAAGAATTTGTGGCAAGGAAGCCCATAAGAATTCTATATTGAAAGTAAATTATTTTGGTGTCCTTTGTGCAAATTGAAGCATTCCAAAGAAAAAATTCCCAGTGTTTTTCTGTAATAGGTTCATTTAAATAAATCTCCCATTTTAACTTTTTGGATTCTGGTGCCACAAAATTCTTATCTTTTATAACAAAAATTTCTTGCATGCGAATAAAAGTTGGTTTACAGTAACTCTGACTGAGGATGTTTCCATATTAATATCACCAATCATACCTTTGCTGATCTTGAGGAGAAGATTTTTAAAAGATTTTTCCAATGTAAAACTTTGATCATGCCCTATCCTCTAGGGATGTGCGATTTTATCAGTATACCGGTATATCGCGATTTTTTGTTGCGTGATACGTATCGTGATACGGACACTAAATACCGGTCTTTAGGTACATATTATAAAGTCCAGAAAATATTCATTTAATTGTTCAATCTTTCAAATTACAATTACAGAGAGTATAAAAAATGTTGTAAAAAGTGAAAAGAACGGCATCTTACCCTCCAAACATAATTGATTTTATATACATAAAAATTTAAAGAAAGTAAAATTTTGTTTTTCTAGCATATTGTTTAGAAAAATAATGACTTTTCATATAAAATCATTCAATTTGTAAAAACTGTGTTTAAAAATATCATGAAATTATCGTGATATTGTTGGAAAAAATCGTGATATATCGCGATACGAAATTTTTGGCGATACCCATCCCTACTATCCTCTCGGGTCATGATTTGAACAAATTTAAATCTTTACTACCTGAGGATGCTTCTACATGAATTTCATCTTTCCTGATCCAATGGTTCTGGAGAGGAAGATTTTTAAAAACATTTTCCTATATCTGCTATGTAAAACTTTGATCAGCCATTGTGGCCCCACCCTACTCCCAAGGATCATGATTTGAATAAACTTGAATCTATCCTACATGAGGATGCTTCCACATGAGTTTCTTCTTTCCTGGTTCAATGGTTCTGGAGAAGAAGATTTTTTAAAAAGATTTCCTATTTATACCTATGTAAAACTTTGATCAGCCATTGTGGCCCCGCTGTACCCCAAGGGGTCATGATTTAAACAAACTTGAATCTACACTACCTGAGGATGTTTCCACATGAGTTTCATCTTTCCTGGCCCAATGGTTCTGGAGAAGAAGATTTTTTAAAGATTTTCCCCATATCTTCCTATGTATACCTTTGATCAGCCATTGGCCCCTCCTTACCCCCGGAGGCCAAGATTTGAACATAAACTTGAATCTACACTACCAGAGGATGCTTCTACTTGAGCTTCATCTTTCCTGGCCAAGTAGTTCTTAACAAGAGGCCCAAGGGCCTTGAATCGCTCTTCTGATAAACTGTACAATCTATCACTTCTATTTGAAGCCTCTAACCCTGAGTATCCTAAGACCCAAGTTGCATCAACTGACAAAGTTTGATGATTCTTAGTCAATTAGGACTGAAAATATTTTTAATAATAAAGCTATAAAAAACCATAAGTACATCACAGTGACCTTTATTAAGATTGAAGTTTTCTGAAGACTCAAGATGCATTAATAAACAAATATTGAAGATTCTAAGCCAATAAGTATTTGAGATTTGTAAAAGTAGGTCACTGTGACCTACTTTTTTGTCTACATTCTATGAAAACCCAAGATACATCAACTAACAAAGTTTGATGATTCTAAGCCAATAAGTCCTTGAGATATTCAAAAGTAGGTCACCATGACCTACTTTTTGGTCGACAATCTTTAAAAACCAAAGATGCATCAACAAACAAAGTTAAACCAGTTAGTATTGTAGATACTTAAATAAAGCCTTAAATGTCAAAAATTAGGTCACCATGACCTACTTTTTGGTCGTCACTCTCCGAAAACCTAAGACGCATCAACTCACAAAGTTTGATGATTCTAAGCCAATAAATACCTAAGATACTTAAATAAAGCCATAAAATGTCGAAAGTAGGTCACAGTGACCTACTTTTTGGACATCATTCTCCGAAAACCCAAGATTCATCAACTTACAAAGTTTGATGATTCTAGGCCAATAAGTAATGTAGATACTTAAATAAAGCCATAAAATGTCAAAAGTAGGTCACCGTGACCTACTTTTTGGTCGTCAGTCTCCGAAAACCCAAGACGCATCAACTCACAAAGTTTGATAATTCTAAGCCAATAAATACCTAAGATACTAAAATATAGCCTTAAAATGTCTAAAGTAGGTCACAGTGACCTACTTTTTGGTCATCATTCTCGGAAAACCCAAGACGCATCAACTCACAAAGTTTGATGATTCTAAGCCAATAAGTACCGTTGATACTTAAATAAAGCCATTAAATGTCAAAAGTAGGTCACCGTGACCTACTTTTTGGTCGTTACTCTCCGAAAACCCAAGACACATCAACTCACAAAGTTTGATGATTCTAAGCCAATAAATACCTAAGATACTAAAATATAGCCATAAAATGTTGAAACTAGGTCATCGTGACCTTTATTTTGGTCGACATTTTTTAAAGTCACAAGATGCATCTGCTGACCAAGTTTGATGATCCTAGGTCTGAAGGTAATCAAAATATGCCTTTTAAACAATTCATAAACAAATGCCTGCAAAATTCAAAAAGTAGGTCACAGTGACCTACTTTTTCATAAATATGTTTAAAGGTCCCAAGATGCATCAATTTACAAGAGTTGATGATTCTAAACCTCTCGGTGTCTGAAATAATTGGATTAAATGTTTTAAAAAGAATTAGTCATAAAGTTTAAAAAGTAGGTCATGGTGACCTACTTTTAAGCTGACGTTGTTCAAGGACTCAAAATGCCTCAATTGACAAAGTTTGATGATCATAGGCCTTAAAGTGCCTGAAATATGCCTTGAAATCAATTTGAAAACAAATGCTTACAAAATTTAAAAAGTACGTCACCGTGACCTACTTTTGAGTTAACATGATGTGATGTCCTGAGATGCATCAACTTACAAGATTTGATGATCCTAGTCATAATAGTAAGCAAAATATAAACATTTTTATTATTTGTAAATTTAGGTCAACTTTGAAGTGACCTTGAGACCACGCCCTTTGCCCCAGGGTCATGCCTTGAACAATTTTTAATCTTCAACATATACTGATCCTTGTATGTAAGTTTGGTGAAAATCTGCCCGGTGGTTCTGGAGAAGAAGATTTTTTAGCAACCAGTACTTTTGGTTTTGTTTTCTTGATTATCTCCCCTTGTTTAAGGGTCCCAATCCTTATTTTAGTATATAAGGTAGCCCTTTGGCCAAGGATACCCTGTGACAAATTTGACACAAATTGGCCAAGGGGTTCTTGAGTTATGGCCCATTTTCTAAAAAGTTAACGCACACCGCACACCGCACAAATGGCCATAGCATTAGCTCTTTGAGCCTTTGGCTCAGAAGAGCTAAAAAGAAATTTTTTTACAAAAAAAATTCCTATGCATTCCTATGTTAAACTTTGATACCCACTGTGGCCCCATCCTACCCCTGGGGGTCATGATTTGAACAAACTTGAATCTACACTACCAGAAGATGCTTCCAAATGAGTTTCATCTTGGTTCTTGAGAAGATCTTTTTTAAAATATGCCATTAATTTTTCACTAATTCAAAATTATCTCCCCTTTGAAGAGGATGTGGCCCTTAATTTGAACTGTCTTGAATCCCCTTCACCCAAGGATACATTGGAGCAAGTTTGGCCCAGTGGTTCTTGAGAAGAAGATGAAAATGTGAAAAGTTTACAACAACAACGATGACAGACAACAGACAAATTTCTATCAGAAAAGCTCACTGCATAGGTTAGCTAGAAATATACCTGTAGGTACTGACTATACTAATATTTCTACATTCACCTCAAAATCTTGTTCATACTTACATGTTCTACCCATAGTTTTCCTACAATAACGTTGTGAACACAGCAATTGATGTTACTCCATGTGTATGTTTCATTATGACTGAAAAAGAAAATGAAAGTGTATAGCTCTTGTTTGTCCTTTTTAATTAACTGTTGTTTTTTTTCCCCTTAGAATCTGTAGCACTGCCTTTTTTTAATTAAAAAAATATCTGAACAAATGTTCAAAGGAAAATTTTTTGCATGTGGCAATCTTAGGGTAATAATAAATGAAATGTGTAGTGCTTTACATTTAGAAATCCTTAAATGTATCAACCATGCAAGTCTGGTCAACATAGGGCTTATAGTTAAATATACTTGGAAATGAGACCTGCACCAAAAATTTTAACCTCGTTCACTCATCTGGAAAATGTAGGTCAGATCCAGCATCCTAAACAAGCCTGGTAGTATGCATCCTTAGATGTATGAACTATGCAAGTTTGGTCAACATAGGGATTATATTGACTTGGAAATGAGACCTGCACCAAAAGTTTTAACCTTTCACTCATCCGGAAAATGTAGGTCACATCCAACACCTAAATCAAGATTGGTACTATGCATCCTTAGATGTATCAACCATGCAAGTTTGGTCAACATAGGGCTAATAGTTACTTGGAGATCTGCACTAAAATCTTCATGGTTGGACAGTTACATTTTTAGGCTTAAGTCTGGCTGGACTAGTGTTTCTTTATGTTTATTAGTCTGCACGATTTAATGATTCAGTCCAAAACAAAACAAGAGGCCCAGGGGCCACATCTCTCACTTGAGCACATCGGCTGGGGAAAAGCACAAATCAGATCAGAATTGAAAAGTTTACTGTGGGGGTGGGGTGGGGCTTGAATTCTAATATTACTTGAGAATGCCTCCATATAAATTCTGTGGAATCTTTCAAGATGTGTATTATAACATATTTTTTGGTTTTTCATTTTGCATGACTTCATGAATTTTCATGAATAGACATGAATAATAATATTGCATTTTTTGTTCACAAATAAACAAGAATATTGATGAATAGTTCATGAACAATACTAAATAACTTTTACAAATTATTCATGCACAGTTCATGAAGATGCAATGGACTTAATAATATAATTCACGAACTTTTCTCAAAAGTTCAAGAATATAATTTATGAATTTTTCTAAGTTCAAGAATTATTCTTGATCATTTTGCAGGCAATTAAAAAATTCATGAACAACGAACTATTCTTGAATATTCTTGAACTTGGTTTTCATGAATAAAATCCATGAAATCACGAGTGTCCAATTTGAACTTCATATCATCTTCATGAACCATTCATGAGCAGATTCAAGAATATAACTCATGAAGTTTTCTTAAAAGTTCAAGAATTATTCTTGATCATTTTGCAAGGGAAGTTTGGTTGAAATTGGTCCAGTGGTTCTTGAGAAGAAAATGAAAATGTGAAAAGTTTACAACAACAACAATGACAGACACATTTTGATCAGAAAAGCTCACTTGAGCCTTTGGCTCAGGTGAGCTAAAAAAAAACAAAAAACATTTATGTTTTAAAACAATAAATGTTAAAGTTATTATTACAATGTAATTTTATACTTTGTTGAAATAAACAATTCATAATGGGGAAGTGTTTTATCCGCAGATTCGTTGAAACCTCATGACAAGGAAGAAAGATCATATCCCCTATCTGTTTTTTTTTTCTAGGCCTCTACATTACATCCAAAATGTCTGACATCTTTCTTTCTGTGTCATACTAAATCATGGATGATGTGCACTAAAATGTTTGACTTCATATTAATCAGTCCTAACATGAAGCACTGAATTGACTCAGAGTTATCCAATTACCCGCTAAGAAGCTAGAAGGAGAACAACAGTCCCATGGGCCTTATAGGTCACCTAAGTATCATGTAACAACTTTCCAACAGTTCAATTAAGTTCATGTTTTAAACCAAAGGCCAGGGCTCGAGCTGTGATTCGCCATTGTCGCCAATTGCGAACTTTTTTCAAAAGTGGCGAAAAGAAATTCATAAGTGGCGAAAATGAATTTTTTAGATGTACCATGTACAAAATTTGTGTAGCCCTGGTTAGCTCCTTTGTTTATTCAATGTACACAGATAAGTCCCTTTGTTTATTTAATGCAGCAGAGGTGTGAAAACTGAAACCTACATGTAGGAAATCACGTCTCGCTTGAACGAACAGAGCTGACTAGGTAACTAGCCTAGAGCAATAAAGGGTTACAAAATTGCTTGAAATAATATAATTTGGATTAAACGGGGGGATACAGTGTTATCAGGAGATGAAGTTAGTATATAAAAGATTTTTATCAACAAAATCTGGATCTATGTAGATCGTTTTTTAAAACCGAAAGTAGGGAAACATGACGAAAATTGTAAAGAATGGCTTCAAATTTTACCTACTGAAAATTAAAAAAATTGTATATTAATATACCATTAACTGACCAAGAGTGAAAAAGAAATTGGTTTGGAAACAGAATTATCTTTAGTTAGTAAATTACACTGAATTATTTACATTAACATGAGCTTGCATATTATACCCTGGAGTCTCCAAGTTGTTAAAATAAAGTCAAATTTCAAACCTAATTTTCATTACTTTTTAATTTACTTCTTTTCACAATTAATTAATGAAATGATGAAAATTTGCATTTTTAAAAAATGTCATATTTTTACTAGGTCTGTATCCTCCCCCCCCCCTCCTTACCAGGCGAACAAAAAATATAAACAAGAGAGAACGTTTTCTGTCAAGAGTTGGCTGATATCAATACAATATCAAATTAATTGTGTAATTCCAACATTATTATTTTTTTCTTTTTTAAATGGATACTACCATAAGTTTTAAACATTACATTTTTAAAACAATGTCTCTGTCAGATAAACATAATAAAAAAAATTGAATAACAAAAAGTGCTTGCATTGTCGAGAAATCAGATGTAAGTATGCCTTTCCTTAAAGCTTGTGTCGCGAAAAGTGGCGAAAAAAATTTTCGGTCCAGTGGGAGCCCTGCCAAAGGCCATGAAATTCACAATTTAGAAAGAGGCACCATTGTTTATCATGCACAACTATACACTTAGCATGCTGACTTATTAATACCCAGAGGTAGATCAGAGTAACAAAGAGAAAATGCATTGCCCAGGAGCACAATTTGTTACTCAATACAAGTATTCTTGGCAGCATTGAGCTGTGATGAATTTCTTCCTTAGAATTTAATCACATTGATTTTGGCTAAAGAAGAAGATTTTTAAAGATTGCATTAATTTTAGTGGTTTTGGTCCCACCCCTCAGGCCCCAGGGAGGCAGGGACCATGACACTGACAATTTTGTTCCCTTCACCCATAGATGATTTATCCCAAAATTGGTTGATATTGGTTGAGCAGTTGCATAGAAGAAGCTGAAAATGTTCAAATGTTAACACACAACACAAGACAGACAAAAAATGGATAGCAATAGGTCACCCGAGTTTACAGAATGTTTAGGCAAGAGGCTGATGGGCCACATCATTCACCTGAATAACTTTGACAGTTCTGTTCATAACCAGATTTCCCTCTTGTAGTATCTAGTGTGACCCCAACCTATCCCCAGGGGTCATTATTTGTACAATTAAGAATTTACACTGCCCCAGGATGCTTCCATACAAGTTTCATCTTTTCTAACCCAGTGGTTCTTGAGAAGATTTTTAACAATTTTTTTTTTCTATACATTTCAATGTAAAACTTTGATTCTATATTCTGGCTACATCCTACCCGGGGGGTCATTATTTGAACAATTGAGAATCTACATTACCCCCCAGAATATGCTTCCACATAAGTTTCAGGTTTTGTAGCCAAGTGGTTCTTGAGAAGGTTTTAAAGATTTTTTTTTCCTATTTTAATTTCAATGTAAAACTTGGATTCTTTATTGTGGCTCTGCCCTACCCCCAGGGGTCATGATTACAACAATTAAAATCGACATTACCCAAGGATGCTTGCACATAAGTTTCAGCTTTTGTAGCCAAGTGGTTCTTGAGAAGAAGATTTTTAAGATTTTTCTAAATTTTTCACATAAAACTTGGATTACCTATAGTGGCCTTGCCCTATCCCAGGGGTCATGATTACTGTATACAGGGTTGTTTTCGCCCCATGTTATTTTCGCCCTTTTGCATGTGCAATCAATTTTGTTTCGTTTGAAATTTGCCAAGTCATAATTAGGCTGTATTCTTTGAATTCGTCCAATGGTGAAGAGGGCAAAATTACCGTAATTTTCGGATAATAGGTCGATGGGGTATATAGGTCGAAAGGCTCATTTTCAGCCTTAATTTTTGAAAAATCCTAAGATAGGACGAACTTACTATATAGGACGAGGCTTTGTTTCCCATTTTCTAAAGATTCTTACGCAGATACAACGTATCAGAACAGGTAAACCTCTAAAATTACCGGGGTTATTCCGTGACATGAACATATCAAGAAAACAAACGGGTATTTTAATGAGTACAGCATTTAAATAAAGTTTTTTAAAAAATGTAGTTAAAACTTCCTTGAATTGTGTTACTACTTATTTTTCTCCAACTTGCCTGTTCAATGCCTCCGTAGTTTCATACTGTTGTTAAACAACAGGCATAAATAACACGTAAGTACGTTCTTATTTTACAGCTATAATTCGGGAAATACCCGAGATCAAAGAATAATAATTCTGATTTCAGAACAACTTGGACACATTCCTAATATATTTTATTCAGACATTATTTACCGGTGGACGACAATTGCTTCGATGTCCGCCATTTTCATTTTTGTTCTTCAGGGATTTGCTAAAACCCACAAACGACCATTGAATGTATATATAAAACAACAGTAAAGAACTGAAATAATATTACCACGCTATAAGTTTAATTTATAAATTTAATTCAGAGTACAGATACATTCACAATTTGACAGTCATTATGAATTTCATGGCTTTGTTTGTTCAATGATGTGTAACACTAATACCCTATAACGGCACGTGGATTTGCTAATCATGCCCTGCGGGTATTAAATCAACACAGGTGTTAAAACCTTTGCGTGTACACACAGTGTAAATCCTTTTATCTGTCAGACAATTAAAATTCTGTTAGAAGCCAACCTTTGTATAGCGGTAATTGTCATCTTGAAAAATTTTCTGTATTTTAAATTTTGATACGGTTGCGGTTTTTCTTTTAGTAAACGGTAGCGACTTCCTAACTTCACAAGATGGCTACCGCATGATGGATAACACTTTGAGGAATTATTTACTTGATGAAGCAGAAGCACAGTTTTTTCCTTTGTCATCAACGGATATTTAATGGAATTTATTTTGTAAGAAAGCTATAGAATAAATATTTTATTGTTTACCTGGGCACTAATTTTTCTGCGTAAAATAATGAAAAAAGTTATGAAAGTGGCACAGATTTGCTTTGAAATTGACGTAAATTTTATTGATTTTGGGGCATTTTTCGTAAACTTGAGCCTTAGAAAGGTCGAATTAGTATATTGGGCGACCCCAGCGGTTCTGAGAAAAAAAGTATTGACCTATTATCCGAAAATTACGGTAAGGGTAGAAAATAAATGAGGGCAAAATTTTCCTTGTATACCATACAACAATTAGAATCTACACTGCCCCAGGATGCCTCCACATAAGTTTATGCATTTGTAGCCAAGTGGTTCTTGAGCAGAAGATTTTTAAAGATCTTTCTTATGTTTTTCAATGTAAAACTTTGATTCTTTTTTTTTTTTGGAACCACCCTATCCCCAGGGGTCATGATTTGAATAATTTAGAATCTGCATTACCCCAGGATGCTTTCACATAAGTTTAATCTTTCCTATCCCAGTGGTTCTTGAGAAAAAGATTTTTTAATGGCCCACCTTATTTTCCTCTTTTCTTGATTATCTCCCCTAGTAAGGGGACTGAGCCCTTCATTTCTTTTAAATTTGAAGTCCCTTTTACCCTAGGATGATTTGTCCCAAGTTTAATTAAAATTGGCCCAGTGGTTCTTCATCAGAAGTTGAAAATGTGAAAAGGTTACAGATGGATGGACAGAAAGAGCTTTCAGCTTAGGTGATCTAAAATATTGTAAATAAACCTACTTTTTTAATTCCAGAGTTAGGATGCCTTTAGGATTGACCTCTACAGATTTGCCCCAAAACTTGAGTTTGGGATGGATGGATCCATGGAATTTGTAATTTGGAGACTCCACATAGAATGCACTAATAGGTGGATGATGGGATACTTGTTCACTCACCATCCGAAATCCCAAATCTGGTCTGTAATCAAAAAACAAAATAAATTAATTGGCATTCTTGGTAGAATTTCTTAAGAATATTGACCAAAGGGATGTTATTATATCATAAAATACAAGTATATACTGACAAAATGTCAGAGATACTCAAGCTGTAGAAAGTCAACTAGGAAGTGTCATTAATATCCTAAAATTGTATTAGATGAGGGCTATTGAGTTCAATCTTCTGTTGAATGAAATACATTTCCATGAATCATGCGAGGCTACTGTGTTGACCAATTTACTCCGTTGATACTCAACAGAAAACATGCATTAACATCCGCCACAAATAGTCCATGTCATATTCCCCTGGATTGATCTAATTTTTATAATTTGAAATGTAAGTAAATGTAATAATATAATAATCTTATTTGAATATTAAATTTCTTTTAAAGTAAAACTCAATTATAAAGATTCAAAGTTTATCGTAATGGAACTCATTTTTAGTGTAGCGTCATCTATAAACACCAAAAGATATGAACGACAACTCTAAATACTGACGGCAAGTGGTAAATCTAGTCTTCCCGATGCCCAATTCCTGACGGTCCCGGATTTTTAGATTTTTAGCAATTTCTTTTTTACCGGTGCACAGAATTTATTCTAACTTTTCATGAACATTTTCTTGGTTTAAATGAATTCATTAATGCATAAAAACTTTAGGAAACTTGCGTATTTATTACCGTATTTGGCCGAGTATAATACGCATTGATGTAAAATACGCACCCCCCTTTTTGAGTCTGAAACTGGGGAAAAAAACGCAGTTCGGATGTATTATACGCAACAGAAAAATTTACCAAGCGATGTTCTGAACTTTGAAAATCGCGGTAATTTGTTACGAAAATCGGCGCGAGGATTAAGTGTCAAAAATTTACTGAACACACTTTTTTTTTTTAAAATACACACTTTATAACTTCTCTTAATCCTGATATTCCATATCGCGGCAATCTGGAGAAAATTATTTATTCATTTATTTCAACAAAGTACAAGATAATATTGCGTAAAAGTATTAACAGATTTTTTTAAAGAATAGTTACGGTGATTTTGAAATAATGCGTCGCCATATTCTTAGATGAAATAATTTTATTTCAACAAAGCAAGAGATATTGTCGAAAGTTTTATCAGTTGTCATATTTAATTTTGGTTCTAGATAATCATGCTTAAAATTATCTGACAATATTTTAACAGGAAACGAAATTGAAACATCAAAGTATTTATTTCTTTAAGAAGACTACGATTTTCCTCTTCTAAATCTTCGCGGATATCTTATTTTCTAAATGATACCACTTTTAATAAAAGTTTTAGCATAATTTATATTTCATTTGTCAACTCTCAATTATTTAAACAAGAGGCCGATAAGTATAAGATAAGGAAAAATTACATTTAACAAGTGTTTAATTGTTTAAAGTGCCGTAATCAACACATGCTCACACATACGAAAGGTCATAAACCGACCCCCCTTTTTAACAAAGAAAATAATCAAAGCAATTAACATGGCAGTAAATAATGAGTGCTGTAACTGTAAAAACATTGCTTTGGAGTTGGTAGACATTTAATTGCCCCGAGGGGTGTTGATAGGTAATTATCATTTGACAAGCGCACGTGTGTCACAACATTGGCTTCCTTTCATTGGGACGTATGGAGGGGTGTTAAATATTGTTGCAGATTATCAATGAGTTATTTTAAACCTAAAATTAATATTTATTTTATTGTATTTCATTAAAAAATTATTTATTACTTTGTCTGGCAGATAAGGTGCATGTGCACTATCATTACTGAAACACGTGACATAAGCATGAGTTAACGTCTAAAAATAACATCGGTAATGGCGGCCTCCTCGGAGACAATCAACATGCAGCTCAAATTACTTTTAACTTACTTTTTCATGTTATTTTGGTATCAAAAGATTGTGAAAGTGACATTTTTAAGAAGCATACCTTCCAACAATAACTTTCCGAAATTTAAAATATGGCAATAAACAAAAGAAATTGCATATGTCTCTAGGTAATACTACGGTATGTACGTATGATAGCCGTGTTTCACCTGAAAGAAAAACTTGTCAAAATCCCATTGTGATGTAAAATACGCATCCCTTTCTCACAGTAATTTATTTTAGGAAAAAAGTGCGTATTGTATTCCCCGAAATACGGTACTAAATCAAACTAGAACTGTCAAAACGGGACAAAATACCCCCCGCTGGATTTTTCAGAAGTAAGTTTTTCCATAATAAAGATATGTATCAAACACAAATTATGAAATTTTTCTTCCAGTGACTTTGAACTTCCCCAAATGACCTTGGGTCAAGGTCATGACACACCCTTGGGACATGGGCAATCTTTGTGTGAAATGAGAACCTACCAAGTTTATCCATAAGAAAGATATGGACCGGACACGAATTATGAAATTTTTTCCTACAGTGACCTTGAACTTCCCCAAATGACCTTGGGTTGGGTCATGGGCAATCTTTGTGTGAAATGAGAACCTACCAAGTTTATCCATAAGAAAGATATGGACCAGACACAAATCATGAAATTTTTCTTCTAATGAACTTGAACTTCCCCAAATGACCTTGGGTCAAGGTCATGACACATCCTTGGGTCATGGGCAATCTTTGTGTGAAATGAGAACCTGACAAGTTTATCCATAAGAAATATATGGACCAGACACGAATTATGAAATTTTTCTTCCAGTGACCCTGAACTTCCCCAAATGACCTTGGGTCAAAGTCATGACACACCCTTGGGTCAAGGGCAATCTTTTTGTGAAATGAGAACCTACCAAGTTTATCCATAAGAAATATATGGACCAGACACGAATTATGAAATTTTTCTTCCAGTGACCCTGAACTTCCCCCAAATGACCTTGGGTCAAGGTCATACCACACCCTTGGGTCAAGGGCAATCTTTTTGTGAAATGAGAACCTACCAAGTTTATCCATAAAAAATATGTATCAAACATGAATTATGAAATTTTTCTTCCAGTGACCTTGAACTTCCCAAGATGACCTTGGGTCAAGGTCATGACACACCCTTGGGTCATGGGCAATCTTTGTGTGAAATGAGAACCTACCAAGTTTATCCATAAGAAAGATATGGACCGGACACGAATTATGAAATTTTTCTTCCAGTGACCTTGAACTTCCAAGATGACCTTGGGTCAAGGTCATGACACACCCTTGGGTCATGGGCAATCTTTGTGTGAAATGAGAACCTACCAAGTTTATCCATAAGAAAGATATGGACCGGACAAGAATTATGAAATTTTTCTTCCAGTGACCTTGAACTTCCCCAATTGACCTTGGTTCAAGGTCATGACACACCCTTAGGTTATGGTCAATCTTAGTGTGGAGTAGTAGATTCTAATGTCCCTCTGTAAGAAAGATATGGACCGGACACGATTGCACAGACAGACAGACAGCTGGACAGACAGACAGACGGACAGACGGACAAGGTGATTCCTATATACCCCCCCAAACTTTTACAATATACTCACTCATGGCAAAAAATATATTTATAATTTACACACAATGTACCTGATTAAATTTATTTTCAAACATATGTTTAATCAGCATCCTTATTATTTTTGTAAGTCAAAATGTAAAACTTTGAAGGTGAATTGAAGTACCCTAAATGATTATAAATGTGGAATTTTTCAAATAGAAAAATGTCTTAATTACAATCATAGAGTGACATATAATTTTTATCCAAAATACAGCCAGAATGCAGGATTTGGCATCTCTATTTTCAAAGTATCTCGGGGGAGGCCCCCCGTACCCCCACCAGCAGGAGGGGGACACCCTCTCCCACACCTACCCCCCTCGTTGCTTCGCTACTCGACCACCAGCCTTCAGCTGCTGGACAACTAATACATGTACATGAACAGGGCTAGTACAGATTAGAAATGGCTAGCCCTGCTGACAACTATGGTTTTAAAGTTAGTGTCGATCCATGTTTTTAGTAACCACGGTGTAACTCCATTCATCGAAACAGAAAACTGATATAAAGACATGTATTTTAGTGTAGACTACTTGTGTGCCAAGTTATATTGAAATCAAACCCAAACTGTAGGAGTATCATTTTGAAAAAAAAATTTTAAAGACAGACAAACAGACATACACCTTACTATCTTTGACCAGTGGAGCTAAAAATAAACACCTCTTTTGAATCATAATAATTTTCACACACAAATTGCATTGTTTAGTAAATTAAAAAAAATTGTTATTAAAATAAAATTGAGTTATATGGTGGAAAAAACAAACAAGAGGCCCATGGACCACATTGATCATATGAGCACCTTAGCTAGGAAAAAAGCAGAAATCAGATCAGAGTTGAAAAGTAAAATATAAAAGGGATCCCAGAGGATGAGGGGTTGCCATTCTTAAGAAGAAAATTTATAATCCTCAACATTTATAATTGTGATACCTTGTTATGGCCCAACCTACCCAGGGATGGGGGGGATGATTTGAACAAACTTGAATCTAAACTACAGTAAAATCTCGTGAATTGGCCGCAATGATGTAAAAGACGCACCCCCAAAGTTGGAGTAAAAATCCCGAAAAAAACGCATATCCTATGTAAAAAGTGCACCCAAAAATTGTCTTTAAAAAAGCACAGTAACTTGAAATAAAAATAATGATTTTTTTTTTTTGCATTGCAAACGAAAGTAGCACGTCAATTTTTTTTTTTACCCTACGTATCTAAAGTGTGCATTTGTGAATATATAAATTTAATCTTTTTAATAATTATCTAACTAAAGATAATAATACCTGATGATTTCCTTTATAAATTGATTCCAACCGTGTTATGAAGTTATGCATGTATACCAAGCGCGTGTCAGTAAGTACGTAAACAAAACTGGGTCATACCCAAGCGATATTAGTGTGGAAAATTTGGCTTCTAGTAATTAAACGGTTCTTGGTATCCATCGATAATTTTCTTGATTATAATTGACTTTTTTAACAAATGCTTCCGACTGAAATATAGTGTTTTAATAGTGCAGGTATTGAGGTGATAATTGTTATATAAACGATAGTCATGTCCTCAGTGACAACATTGAACACAGTTAAATATAGCAATGACGCATCAAAAGAATTCCTACCAAGTTGCACCTCTAATTGCATATCTAATATTTAAAAAAATATAAATAAGTTTTAGAATCAAGAACAAGAGGCCCATGGGCCACATCGCTCACCTGAGAAGCTTTGACCATTCTGTTCTTTACGAGATTTCCCCCTTGTTAAACATAATGCATCCCCACCCTACCCCACTGATCATAATTTAGACATTTTGAAATCTACACTACCCCATGATCCTTCCAGGGCACATATGTTTCAGCTTTTTTGGCCCAGTGGTTCCTGAGAAGAAGATTTTCAAAGATTTTTCCTATATATTTCTATGTAAAATTTGATTCCCTATAATGGCCCCGCCCTTCCCCCGGGGGTCTTGATTCCTATAATTTAGAATTTACAATACGCTAGAATGCTTCCACATAAGCTTCACTTTTTCTGGCCCAGTGGTTCTTGAGAAGAAGATTTTCAAAGATTTTTCCTATATATTTCTATATAAAACTTTGATTCCCCATTGTGGCCCCGCCCTACCCCCGGGGGTCATGATTTGAACAATTTAGAATCTACACTATACCAGGATGCTTCCACATAAGTTTCAGCTTTTCTGGCCCAGTGGTTCTTGAGAAGAAGATTTTCAAAGATTTTTCCTATATATTTCTATATAAAACTTTGATTCCCCATTGTGGCCCCGCCATTCCCCCGGGGGTAATTATTTGAACAATTTAGAATCTACATTATACCAGAATGCTTCCACATAAGTTTCAGCTTTTCTGGCCCTGTGGTTCTTGAGAAGAAGATTTTCAAAGATTTTTCCTATATATTTCTATGTAAAACTTTGATTCCCCATTGTGGCCCCCCCCCTACCCCCCGGGGTCATGATTTGAACAAACTTGAATCTACCCTACCTGGGGATGCTTCCACATAAATATGAGCAATTATAGCTTTGCTGTTCTTGAGAAGAAGACTTCTAAAGAATTTTCCTATATATTTCTATATAAAACTTTGGTCGGCCATTGTGGCCCCGCCCTACCCCGGGGGTCACGATTTGAACAAACTTGAATCTACACTACCTGGGGATGCTTCCATATAAATATGAACAATTATGGCTCTGCTGTTCTTGAGAAGAAGACTTCTAAAGAATTTTCCTACATATTTCTATATAAAACTTTGGTCGGCCATTGTGGCCCCGCCCTACCCCGGGGGTCACGATTTGAACAAACTTGAATCTACACTACCTGGGAATGCTTCCATATAAATATGAGCAATTATGGCTCTGCTGTTCCTGAGAAGAAGATTTTTAAAGAATTTTCCTATATATTTCTATGTAAAACTTTGGTTGGCCATTGTGGCCCCGCCCTACCCCCGGGGGACATGATTTGAACAAATTTAAATCTACACTACCTGAGGATGATTCCACGTGAGTTTCATCTTTCCTGGCACAGTGGTTCTTGAGGAGAAGATTTTTAAAACATACCACCAATTTTTCACTAATTCTTAATTATCTCCCCTTGAATGAGGGCGTGGCCCCTTATTTGAACAAACTTGAATCCCCTTCACCCAAGGATACTTTGTGGCAAGTTTGGTCGAAATTGGCCCAGCGGTTCTTGAGAAGAAGTCGAAAATGTGAAAAGTTTAGACAGACAGACAGACAGACGGACAGACGGACAGACAGACGGACGCCGGACAAAATGTGATCAGAAAAGCTCACTTGAGCCTTCGGCTCAGGTGAGCTAATAATTGGAATTTTTCTAAGTCCAAGAGGCATAACTCTGTCAATTATGGTGCGATCATATCCAAAACAGAACAAGACCTGGATATTCATCTGATATACCTGTATACCAAATTTCATTTCAGTATGTGCATTGGTTATGAAGAAAATGAACGGAAACTAAATGGACCAACTGACAGACAGCAGCAAAGCAATATGCCCTCCCTTCTTTGAAGTGGGGCATAAATATATCTATGTCTTACATGCATCTCTTTGATGATATAAGTGATGGTTGTTCAAAATGGAGGGATACTCAATCGAAATAAAACATATACAAAGATCGTTTTTTATCAGAGTTTTATTCAATGAAACAAATATCTTTATTTCAACAGTTAAGATAGATGCATATTTCTACAATGGGTAGGATTTACGTATATAACTTTCTGAAATTAAAGTAACTTTGACGTTATTGGTAACAAAGAGCAATCAATTGAAATGGATCAGAAAAATGGTCCTCGGCACCAAGAAAAGAGGCCCATGGGCCACATCGCTCACCTGAGAAGCATTGAACATTCTGTTCTTTACCAGATTTCCCCCTTGTAATACATATTGTGACCAAACCCTACCCAACTGATCATAATTTAAACAATTTGAAATCTACACTACCGTAGGATGCTTTGATTCAACATTGTAAAAATTGATTTCCCATTGTGGCTCCGTCCTACCCCCGGGGGTCATGATTAGAACAATTTAGAATCTACACTATCCCAGGATGCTTCCACATAATTTTCTGCTTTTCTGGCCCAGTGGTTCTTGAGAAGAAGATTTTTCCTATATATTTCTATGTAAAACTTTGATTCCCCATTGTGGCCCCGCCCTATCCCTGGGGGGTCATGATTTTAACAATTTAGAATCTACACTTCCCCAGGATGCTTCCACATAAGTTTCAGCTTTTCTGGCTCATCGGTTCTTGAGTAGAAGATTTTCAAAGATTTTTCCTATATATTGCAATGTAAAACTTTGATCCCCATTATGGCCCCACCCTACCCCCGGGGGTCATGATTTGAATAATTTAGAATCTGCACTACCCAGGGATGCTTCCACATAAGTTTCAGCTTTTCTGGCCCACTGGTTCTTCAGAAGAAGATTTTAAAAGAATTTTCCTATATATTTCTTTGTAAAATTTTTGATTCCCCATTGTGGCCCCGCCCAACCCCCGGGGGTCATGATTTTTACAATTTAGCATCTACACTACCCAAGGATGCTTCCATATAAGTCTCAGCTTTTCTGGCCCAGTGGTTCTTGGAAAGAAAATGTTTAAAGATTTGTTCTATATATTTCTATGTAAAACTTTGATTCCCCACTGGGGCCCCGCCCTACCCCCGGGGGCATGATTTTAACAATTTAGAATCTACACTACCCTAGAATGCGTACACATAAGTTTCAGCTTTTCTGGCCCACTGGTTCTTGAGAAGAAGATTTTCAAAGAATTTTCCTATATATTCTATGTAAAACTTTGTTTCCCCGTCCTATCCCCGGGGGTCATGATTTGAACAATTTAGAATCTACACTACCCCAGGATGCTTCCACATAAGTTTCAGCTTTCCTGGCCCAGTGGTTCTTGAGAAGAAGATTTTTTAATGACCCCACCCTATTTTTGTCTTTTCTTGATTATCTCCCCTTGTGAGGGGACTTGACCCTTCATTTTCACAATTTAAATTCCCCTTCACCCAAGGATGCTTTGCACCAAGTTTGGTCAAAATTGGCCCAGTGGTTCTTGAGAAGAAGTCGAAAATGTGAAAAGTTTACAGACGGACAGACGGACCGACAGACAGACAGACGGACGGACGGACGATGGACAAAATGTGATCAGAAAAGCTCACTTGAGCCTTCGACTCAGGTGAGCTAAAAAGGGGTTGAATTTTGTTCCTATATATTGAGCGCATCCCTCCTTTTGAACAATTTTCTGACAAAGAAAAAAAAAGTGTGGCCAATACTCGGGACATTACGGTTCCTAAAATGTTTCAGTATAAATTTGACCAGTTATGGTATTGCTGTTTTTTAGAAGGAAATTTTTAAAGATTTTTCCTAAGTAAAACTTAAAGTCCATATTATCGCCCTACATAAATAGTGGGAAAGCATGAGAATGTTTCAGGGACCATATGATGATATTTCTGCAAATTTGCCCATGAACAATCAATACGTGACACGATCATCAATGGGTTTCCAATCATGAACACATGGCTATGATGCATTCAACAATTTATTGATTCAGTACCAATTTTGATACATTTTATGAAAACAAAACATGAAACTTTCTTATTTTACTGGGTCTTTAAAAATCCACATGTATTGACATCATACATTCTGAGCAAAATTTATACATAAATTTGCACAGGATGCAAATCAATATTAAACATTGAGCAATTCATCTTACCTATCAAATTCAAAAGTTTCTCCTAATAATGGATTGAATGGTTTTCCTAAACGTTCAAAGTTGGATGAAATAGCAGACACTGCAAATGCCGAGATAAACTACAAAATAAACAAGAAAGACATGAGTCTTGACAGTCACCTGAGAATTATGAATTAACCACATGCAGATACCTGTAATGATATAGAGTCTCACCAACTGTAAAATGTCACTTGAGTCCAGAAAAGGATCAGCTGATCATAACTGGCCACACCAATGGCACAACTTATATAATTCATTAGGGCTGTCACGGTTCCAAAATTTTTCGGGTCGATTTCGTAAATTTTTGGTTTGGTTTCGGGATTTTTGGTTCAGTTAAATACCTCTATTTTAAGCCTTATCTTCATGAATTTAACATAAAAAATCTTCTTTTTTTGTTATGTTACATTCACCTTTAAAATAAATCTTATATCTATGTTAACGTCATGACATCTGTGTTTAGGACTATTAGGCTGACTATTAGCTTCAAAATGACCATTTTTGCTTGTTTTGATAATTATCTTATCTTTTCGTGACAAGTGTTTTGTCATACAATGAAGTATAATTCACTTGTGATGTTCATTTATAACCGTTATCGTCAAAATTCTTTTGATTTCAATGCCATTTTTTTGTATAAAACATATTCGTATATATATATATATATATATATATATGTAGGACTCCAAAGTGCGATGGGACTCCAAAGTCCGATGGTCACGCCAAAGTCCGATGGTCTGCGCCTAACCCCGGTGGTTTGACATGCCAAAGTCTGATGGTGCAAAAAACAATTAACGTTTATGACGTCATAGTACTACTGCGCAAAAATGCGATGCCACCCCATGCCAAGGCCCGATTGTTTAAAATAAATACAAATAAATATTTAATGCAAAGACTAACCCTTATCTTTTGGATATAGGTGCGAGACTAGCACTTATCAGTCGCAAAATGTGTAACAACCATAAGATAGGTATCTTGGATGGATGCAGGACTAATCCAGATCAGTCCAATAATGTGCGAGGACTACCATTAAAGTTCTTGGGTGAGTTCGAAGAAACACATTGGTGTTCAAGAACTAACCCAATCAGTTGAATGATGTACAAGGACTAACCCTAATAGCTCTAGTGGGTGAAAACAATAAGCAAAATCAGTAAAATTGTAAGCGGGACAAATACTATATAAATCAGTGGATTTTGGATGCAGGACAATGTCATGACGTCAGACTATTGTGACGTCATAAACTTTTATTGTTCCTTCACACCATCGGACTTTGGCGTGTCAGACCATCACATTTTAGTGTTGCATGTCTCATGGGAAACGAGCCATCGGACTTTGGCATGACCATCGGACTTTGCAGTCCTTAAAGACAGCGAGCCATCGGGGTTTGGCGCAGACCATCGGGGTTTGGCGAGACCATCGGACTTTGGCGTCACCATCGCACTTTGGAGTCTTTACTTAAGAAATAAACAACGTTATTTAGTGAACATGGCGTTATGAATAGCAATTGCTCTGCTGGCATATTCCATGATGCTAAAGCGCTAGTGCATCATGGAAAATGGATGCCAGCAGAGCTATTGCTATTCATAATGCCTTGTTCACTAAATAATCGTTGTTTATTACTTATATTTGCATTCTTTGATGGTGTCAAGAATATCAGAGGAAATCCTGGCTTACATAAGGATGTGGCTTGTTGTCTTCAGTAAAGAAAAACACACGGCTTTAAAATTAGTAAAATTAGTATACCTGATCATTCTCTAATAAGTCACAAACAATTTATAAAGTATCAGCCTCGTTTAAAACACAGTCAGATACAAGCTGTGCCGTCGTCACACTCTCTTAATTTTTGTTTGATGCAGATGTGACGTCATCGATCAACGTTATTGAAACCCTCTAACAAAAATCAATAATATAATTTAACCTTATGATAAAAAAGAGAATGCTTTAAAAATTATTATAACTCCAGTATGCTTTTCTATATGATTTTTAAATTTTTTTTCTAATTGTTTTTTAAGAGTTGAAATCGTTCTTGAATTTTGCTTTTTTATGAATGTTTTATCACCCAAGTGTGAAGAGTTATCGTTCTTTGTACAAATATGCAAAAATACGATAAGAAAAAATAAAAATATGGCAGTTTTCAATTTTTAAAAAGTTTTATTATACAATTAAATACATTGACCAAAATTAAATTTTTAAAGATATAAATCAGCAATTTTGAATTGTTCTGAATTTCTTTTTTCCCCAAAAATATTATTAAAAACTTATATTTATTCCTTTTACGAAACAATTCATATATATATACTTCTCATCACAATACAAAAGTGTAGGAGAGCTTACACTACACGAGTGTGATAGAGCAATTGTGTCTACAGTGCTATGAATGCAGTTGATGACTACATGTTCATAGTGGGAGAGAGCAGTGGATATGCAAATATATATATATAAACCAGACCCCAACCGAAATATGGAAAAAGGGAACTGAACAACTTGGACCACGATTTTCGGTTATTTCAGAGAACCATGATAGCCCAATAACTTATATAATGAAAGAAAACAAGAGGACCAATGGTCACAAAACTCAACTTAGTAACTATGGCCCTACATTTTCTTTATCAGCTTCTTTTTCCCATATATTCCTATGCAAAACTTTTATCACCTTTTGTACCCCCCCCCCCCCCCCCTTCATCCACCACCACCACGGATTTGAACAAACTTGAAGCTAAACTACCTGAGGATGCTTCAACATATGTACAATTGATCATGGATTTTCTGTTGTACGTAGCAGATTTAAAAAAAAAAAATCATATGCATTCCTATCTAAAACATTGATTGTCCGTTGTACTTTATATCTTAAAGCATTTCAGATAATGAGATTAATTAACTGTAAATTCTATGTATTTTATTTCTATTCATACCTTTAACCTATCAACAGGGTCTTCACATGTACTGGCCTTTTCTAGTAGCTCTGAATATTCCATATACTCTGTAATTCTCTGTAGAAAGCTGATTGGTTCATTAAATACAACAGGCATAGTTATCTTTGACAATTCCTGAAATTAAAGCAAAGGTAATATTTCACATCTCCACTTGACAAATATGCAATCTATGAGTAAGGCAAATATTAACATTTTTATTCCCCTGTAATCGAAGATTCTGGGGTACATATTTTTTGCCCTGTCCATCTGTCTGTCAGTCTATCTGTCTAGCTGTTTGCCCGCAAACTTTAATCTTGCCCATAACTTTTGACTGGATGGGGATATGGCTTTTATATTTCACAGGTAAATTTATTTTGACAAGATCTTTCTTTGGATACCACCAAATTGGATACCAACAAGTTTGACACTTGACCTTCACCTTGGAGTCTGACCTACTTTTAAAAACTTTACCCTTGGCTATAACTTTTGACCAGTTAGGGCTAGTGCTTTCATGCTTTACATATGTAATCCTTGTGACATCTTTCATTGGATACCAAAAATTTGACCTTGACCTTGGAGTTTGACCTACTTTTAAAAAAAAATTAATCTTGGCAATAACTGTTAGGGAAAAAGCTTTCATATTTTATATATGTAATCCTCTAGACAAGACTTTTCATTAGATACCAATAACTTCAACCCTTTGACCATGACCCTGTAGTTTGACCTACTTTTAAAAACTTAAACCTTGGCCATAATTTTTGAATGGTTAGGGCCATGGCTTTCATACTTCACATATATAATCCTTCAGACAAGATCTTTCTTTAAAAACCAAAAACTTTGACCCTTTGACCTTGGAGTTTGACCTAACTTTTAAAACTTTAAACTTGGCTGTAACTTTTGAACAGGTGGTGCTAGGGCTTTCACAATAGAATTTCTTGTGAGAAGATCTTACTTTGGGTACGAATATATTTGATCTGCACTTAAGAAAAGTTAAATCTTAGCAAATGTTGCCATATAGGGGCATCAGTGTTTCACAATTACATTTTGATTTTTAGTTAGTGTGCATTCCAAGTTCAATATCCATGGAAGTTTGGTTTAAAAAGGACTCATATTTACTTAGAAATGGATTTGCAAAAAGTGTAGCCTAGCTTTTCACTAATCAAGAAAATATCAGTCAGTTCCAAGTGATATATTTGTAGATAACAAACAGTATGAGTATTCAAGCTCAAAAGTCCAGTCAGAAGCAACGTCAAGAAATTCATCTTTTACAACATTGCTTTCTTTAAATGATGGTCTTCCTTCGTGCATATCATTTTGTAAACTGTTTCCTTCTGTTGAAAATCTTATATGTCACTTAAATTAAATACTAAAGTCAACGGCTTCCTTCACTATGTTTTCCGGACTGTTCACAGAATTTATGGGTCTCTGTTGGTGTTTTTCTGATGTATAAGCAGAATTTTATCACTGCTCTCTGCTCCACCTTTTCAGAAAATGTTCCTTTTTCAACCAATGCCGATTTTGTCTTAATAGATTCTAACCTCAATTTTTACGCCATTTTGAGAATTTGAACGTTCAAATTTTGCAGGTTTAACATTATTACTTTTGTCAACCACATAATGTAAAAGCCATCCAAATTTCTGCAGAATTTTACAAAATACAAATGATATTAATAAAATGATAAATAGCAATTGAGTTAAAATTTTGCAGTGTTCCAAGTCTAATAATGAAGCCATAATTGTAATTAGTACCATTTTACACAGAGTTTGGACTTTCAGTATGGCGTGGCATTCTCAACATTACATAATTAGCTTCTGACATTTACACAGCTTTCCTTCACTGTGGAAATATACATGGGATAGAAATTCGGGCAAATGCCAATTAGTGTATCGAATAACCATTTACATTGTAGAGGTGGAGCTTAAGGACAGACGAGACGTTCCTTAATAATAGATAAATTTTTCTAGGAGTTTGTCATTGAAGTATTGCTACTTAAACATGTTTACTCACAAAAAATTGAGGTACCTTACCAGGCATTTCTGCAAGATACCAGGGATAGTTTTTCTTATATAATCCTTTGGGGAAGAAAAATAATTTTCCAATTTCAAATGTTTATGTGTTTGGGTTTTTTAAAAACGTTTAGAAACTGGTTTAGAAATCAGAATGTTATGAAAATTTTGAATATTTTTCATACATTACGAAGATATACAAAACAGATTTTTAGGAACGTCTTGTCTGACCTTAAGTAGTCTCATCATTGTCAACAACAATTTAAAGTTCCTGATGTTATTAATTTTTTAACTAATGAGAACCTATTCGCCATTTGGCAGGCGGTAAACATGTAGCGCCAAGAAGGACTTGCCTTACTGAAAGTCCAAATTCTGTGTGAAATGGTCTTATACATTTGAAATCTAATATAATTTTACATTTGATAATTAATTCACATTTAGTAAAGGATTAAAAATATGCTAATAATAAATATCAATGACACAACTTTTATTTAAGGAAGAGCTGTCTTACTTTTCGATTTTATGATGTGATCAATCGATTAGCTTGCATGATAATTTGCATACACGCCGAAGGTATTTATGCATAAAATTATCACGCAAGCCAATCGATTGATCATCTTCATGAAATCGAAAAATCTGACAGTTATTCTTTATATTTACATGCTCTTGATTCCGCCAATCCACATGCAACAAGCCCTGCTTCTGTCTAGCTATTTGTCCCGCCCTGCATGTGATTTTTTTTAACTGCCCCTATTGATCATGAACCAGTATATTTATGTTGAAATAAAGTACATTAACTACTTGTCATTTTATCTTGGACATAGACGTTGGAAATGTAAATATATAAATTCAAACTGACAGGGGGCTGACTAGGGTTTTACTGTGAGAAAACTACAATAGCAAAACTCTTTATTTTTATACCACATACCACTTACATTAACTTCAGTGTACATGCAAAGTTTGGGGGAAATCTACTATCCAGGTATTTTTGAGGGACCGTCTCAAAATACAGGTACATTTACTATAGGATTGCATAAGAAAATGCCTATTTTTAGCACTTTAAAGCAAATTATACAAATACTACGAAAGACTTTTTGTTCAAACCATAATTTTTTATGAGTAATACTATATTATACAATATATATAAGAAACACAAAATTCTATTGTCTTGTTACCAAAGGGGGCATCTCAAAATGCCAAAAATTTACGAATTTTCCTGTTTTTATAGAGTACTACAAAATATGACGGGCACAAAGGATTCATAAGAAAACATAATAAAAATAATGGAGATATTCTCGAATTTTTATGTTTTTAAATTTCAAGAGCGTATGTTTATTACTTTTTCTTTAATAACATTTTTATCACTCCTTTCTGTAAGAGCTTCAGTTCATAATAACGTCAAAAACACACTGTAACAACATCAACTTACTTAACAATTGCAAAATCGGTTCAAAAATCATTTAGGCCAAAGTTTTTTTCTCTTAATTTGGTTTACGATTCCGCCGACCCTATTTTTCCCTATTCACAAAAATAAAAATAATGTGTCTGACTCTCGAAACTGGACTCTTAATCCGAAATTTTCTCGACCAAACAACTGTTTTTATAATTTACAACACATCTTAAACATTCAAATGAGCTCCACAAATATACAGATTGTCAGGACCAACCTAGGGGGCGACTCACTTACAGACTGTTTCTATACCAATGACCAATGCATCGAATACTGTAGATTCCTTATTTTTCGCGAGAACTTTTTATCGCGAACTGGGTCTTTGGCGTCAAATCGCGAGAATGATAATTCGCAAATGGACGGTTGATCAACAGAATTTACATAGATTTCAGCACCATAAAAATAACAAGAGGCCCATGGGCCACATCGCTCACCTGAGAATCTTTTGTCATATTGTTCTTTACCAGATTTCCCCTTTGTGATACATATTGTGGCCCCGCCCAACCCCCGGGGGTCATGATTTGAACAATTTAGAATCTACACTACCCCACAATGCTTCCACATGAATTTCAGCTTTTCTGGCCCAGTGGTTCTTGAGAAGAAGATTTTCAAAGATTTTTCCTAAATATTTCTATGTAAAACTTGGATTCCCCATTGTGGCCCCGCCCAACACCCTACCCCCGGGGTCATGATTTGAACAATTTAGAATCTACACTACCCCAGGGTGCTTCCACATCAGTTTCAGCTTTTCTGGCCCAGTGGTTCTTGAGAAGAAGATTTTCAAAGATTTTTCCTATATATTTCTATGTAAAACTTTGATTCCCCATTGTGGCCCCGCCCTGCCCCCGGGGGTCATGATTTGAACAATTTAGAATATACACTACCCCAGGGTGCTTCCACATCAGTTTCAGCTTTTCTGGCCCAGTGGTTCTTGAGAAGAAGATTTTCAAAGATTTTTCCTATATATTTCTATGTAAAACTTTGATTCCCCATTGTGGCCCCGCCAAACCCCCGGGGGTCATGATTTGAACAATTTAGAATCAACACTATCCCAGGGTGCCTCCACATAAGTTTCAGCCTTATTGGCCCAGTGGTTCTTGAGAAGAAGATTTTTTAATGACCCCACCCTATTTTTGTCTTTTCTTGATTATCTCCCCTTGTGAGGGGACTTGGCCCTTCATTTTAACAATTTAAATTCCCCTTCACCCAAGGATGCTTTGTACCAAGTTTTGTCAAAATTGGCCCAGTGGTTCTTGAGAAGAAGTCGAAAATGTGAAAAGTTTACAGACGGACGGACAGACAGACAGACAGACGGACAGACGGACAGACGGACGGACGACGGACAAAATGTGATCAGAAAAGCTCACTTGAGCCTTCGGCTCAGGTGAGCTAAAAACGAGTAATATTTTTTCGTGAGTGACTCTTTTCACGAAATTATGCGGAAATTAATTCCTCGCGTATAATTAGGAATCTACAGACTACTCCGTCGGAACTCCTCTAGATTTTACACTTCTGGGTATGAAAAAGTCCATCGTTACAAGTTAAACACAACAAGACGCAAAACAGCTGGACAGCTTTCAATGTCATGCTAAAGATGTTGGAAAAGATTTTAGATCCTTTTATTGTCAAATAATTAATTCATGCTGTGGATACAGACGTATTTTTACTGTTAAATCTTG